CCAGTCCATGGCCATCGTGAACCATCAGCATTCACCCAGTTTGCCCGATGGCCAGTCTGGGCCTGCCTACTTACTGAAGTTTATGGAAACGGAGACAGTGCAAAAACAATTTTTTCTAATTTTAAAAATTAGAATGAAAAGAAATGTGGGGCATTTTAAATTAACGTTGACCTAGTATTAAAAAAAACAGTGCAGCAGCTAGCTTTGTGCAGCTTCTTTCCATCACAGTCAGTTTGTAAGTAAAAATGCAAAATTAAATAAAAAAATCACAGCAGCCAGTTACTTTGACTATTTGCTGCTAAAACCCAATTAAATTAAATCTCATTCACAGCAGTTTACTTCACTGCGGATTGTGAATGAAAATAAAAATGACACAACCAGTTAATTCACTGCCTGTGCAAAAAAATAAAACCTAATACTGTCAGAGCAGTTACCTCACTGCCTGTATAGTTAAAAGAAAAGAAAAACACTGACAGAGCAGTTACATCACTGCCTGTACAGACAAACAAAATCAAAATCTCACTGACACAGCCAGTTACTTCACTGACTGCGCAAATCATAGTTTAAAAGAAAGTAAACACTGACTGTGATATTGATGTTACAGCACTATCCCTTTCTAGGTAAACGAAAGGTGACTAGAGTACAACTAAAAAGCTGGACATCCACTTTACAATTTTTTGGCAGGTCTACCCTCATCCGGTGACAAATTAGCAGTCAGTGGGAGGGAGACTTTTCACCGTGTCTCCCTTTCAGCTTGGAGCTCTCTACCCACAGCCCAGGAGACAACGTAACACCTTATCTTTACCTTTTCTTCATGGTCCCTCGTTGTCAACAGGGAAAGAGATGTTGAAGAAAATTTATAATGCTGCAGTAGGCTAGGAGAGGGTGTTAAAAGAAAATCCAAGAAACTGCTGCTGCTCTGGTGGAATAGATGGAGTAAATGCTTCGTATCGAGATGTTAGGGTCTCCTGTATTACTCGTGATATTAAGCTCTCCAGTGGTGGCTATAAAGAGAAGACATAAGAAGTTACTGTAGTATTTACACATTGTACAACAACACATCCAATAAGTGTTACCATTCCTAGAAAGCAGTATAAGAACACCAATATGGATGTAAAAGATGGAGGGGGGAGATTGCAGAATGCCAAAAGCTATATGTATAAACTGGTGTAATTTTCCTATTATCACAGTGTTCTAGCCATAATGGCAATGAACAAAAGGAAAATTAAAGGCTAGATTGTTTCAAGGAACACTATAGTGTTAGGAATGCAAAACTGTTTTCCTAACACTACACTCTCCCTATGCTTACACTGCACCCAGGACATGAAAGGCCTAAAAAACCTTTTAACCACTTACCTGATTCCAGCGCTAGGGTCCCTGGGTGCTGGATTGGGCTCCTCTTTCTTCAACCTCAGTGTGATCTGGGAACCTAATGTGGATTAACGGTGACCACCACCCCACCATTAGGACTTCCACACCGTGCTTTCCTATGAGGTTTTTTAAGATAGTTGGGTACAAAGGGACAGGCACAACTGTTTGGTTAGGGACAGGGGCAGAGGTGTATGGATATGGCTGGAGAGGACACTTTGGAGCTTGCAGTGCTGCCAAGTTTAGACATTGTTTGTGTTTCTGGGCTAATTACCCCAAACTACTCCGATATACATAGTCCCGATCACAACCAGTAATCCACGGTCACACCATATTAGCACTTTGATCGTCTCTCTTATCTTTTCATAAACTAGTCACTCATTTTGTTACATTGATTTTTCTGGTCTCTATTTGAAGTTTCCGTATACTTACTGTTCTTAGCACAAAGGGGGGATCTAGCCTGCCAGCCTCCAGGTCATCCCAGTCAATGGACTGGAAGAAAGGATGGAATTGGATGCTGCTAGCTGCCCCCAAGCGCTGAGATGGATTTTTGCACAGGAGCTGCAAATGGAAGAGTAGAATGTCAACAATAAAACTGCCACTGCCTTTGTTCATTGACTAAAACACATGCAAACACAATATAGATATCTGTAAATCTGTATGCAGTATCACAAGGTTAAAGGGACATTCTAAGAATCAAAGGTGCAAGATTATTACTAGTACAGTCGCTTTTATCTCCACTCGACTTCATATGTTGAATGCAATGTTTAAGGTTTTCCTGTTCTCAATAGGAGAAACTACCTAACCCAGAATCAGTTCCCGATTCTCTCTAGTTTTAGTCATTTTATCACTGTGTTCTTGATTGTTTTATTGTGTATATATTTAATTCCCTGAAATCCCCTCCTTAAATATTATCCTGTCTTATATGACTTTAAGCTGGTATGAGCTATAAGCATTTGACTGAATTAATATATCTTTTATCTTTTTTTCGATATTACCATATATAGACACCATTGTCATTTATGGGCATTCCGTGTCACTCTTTGTTAATAGTTTTCTATAAATAAATGTTCTCTTTTTCAGGACATTAATTTAGACTGCCGGATCATACACACCTTTTTCACGAGATCTTTGACCTGTTTTCTTTGACACTCAGGGTGATCTGTGGTGTCATGAAGCATTGTTTGGGCAGCATTTGGATTTTTTGGAAATGCTCTCTTGGCCAGCTTATGAAGGATTAGACCATAGGCCCACCAATCTACTGCAGCATTATATTTTCTTCCTTTCCGCATCTGCCAACATAATTTCAGAAATGATTAAGTCAAGTGTTTCCTTACAGGAAAGAAAGTATTACTGTCAAATATAATGCTGTTCTCATCGTCTGCCTATTAGAATAGGCAACTTATAAAAAATATATATTTCACTACAAATGTGCAATGATTCGGAGCAATATGACTGGTTGGGACAGTATAGACAATCACTGAAGGTGTTTTTCAATTTTAAAGAATTGTCTTTAAAGTTTGGAGGACCTAGCCAAGCACTGTTGCCATCAGCCATAATAAATAAAGATGTTAACCCATGCTTATTATAATATCAACCATGATACCTTATTACAGAGGAGAATAACATGAACATTGATAAAAAACAAAACAAAAGATAAATGTGTGGGTGGTGAAGGTGATAATAGGTCACAAAGCTAGTGTAGGCAAGCCACTGTCACGAGGTCACTCCCAACCTCTATACAAAATAAACACAATGTCTGAACACTACTTCAGACAACAGGGCGCCACAGCCACTATAAATATATATTACTGAAAATAGGAGATTCCCATAAATGAAAAACAATTGGTGGAAATACAAAGTCCACTTTATTGCATATAAAGAACAATAGTACACAATAGTGCAACAAGCACAGTGTATATAAAATAATATAAAAAATAAGTACATAGCCAAATTGGCCAAGAGCCCCTAAGGGTAGCAGCTATAAACATACAAGTAACTACACCGATAGTAAAAGTGCCTAAGTGCAAGGGTGCAGGGTACTGATAATACTGCTCCACAAACCAAAAACAGCACAGTGCATACAATATAGGATGGAATGCAAATAGAGTACATGTAGAGAAAGACTGCTATACCGAAAATACAGGGCTCTTGTGAATGCTCTACGCGTTTTGTCGATGTCGACTTCCTCAGGAGCTTGCTGTACACTCTACATGTACTCTATTTGCATTCCATCCTATATTGTATGCACTGTGCTGTTTTTGGTTTGTGGAGCAGTATTATCAGTACCCTGCACCCTTGCACTTTAGCACTTTGCACTTTTACTATCAGTGTAGTTACTTGTATGTTTATAGCTGCTACCCTTAGGGGCTCTTGGCCAATTTGGCTGTGTACTTATTTTTGATATTATTTTATATACACTGTTCTTGTTGCACTATTGTGTACTATTGTTCTTTATATGCAATAAAGTGGACTTTGTATTTCCACCGATTGTTTTTCATTTATGGGAATCTCCTATTTTCAGTAATATATATTTATAGTGGCTGTGGCGCCCTGTTGTCTGAAGTAGTGTTCAGACATTGTGTTTCATCTTCATAGCTATAAAGATCTGTTTAGCTACAGAGTGATTGTTGCTCTTGGTGAGATGTAATATGATCAAGTCATGTAGCCTCAAAGCCAAACAGTAGCCATGGTCTATCCTACCTCTGGAGCCATATAATCTACAGTGCCTGCGTAACCCTTTGCTGTCCTCTTGCCGTACATCTCCAGCGCCAGTCCAAAGTCGCCTATCCTGATGTGACCCGCTTCATCCAGCATTATGTTCCTTGGCTTTATGTCTCTGTAGAGAGAAATATCATAAGATTTATAGTTTATTGAAGATCTGTCATGAAACAGGTCGTTTACATGGCTTACTAATAGTAAAATTCTGGAAGTGTGTACAAATCTATTTATGAGCTATAGCCAATCAATGAAATAATGCCCCATCAATTCACAGAGAAATGAAACAGGCTGCTTATACCTGAATTTAGGAGACAATTTAAAAAAGGATTTTGTAATTTAGTTTTAATGAATGCAGTTTTCTACATTTCTCTTAATCAGTTGGACTAGAAATGACCATTCTGCTTCTTTCTTTCTTATCCTGCCCTTCCTTTTTTCTGCTCTGCCCAACACGAGTAAATGTTTTTCTCAAACGTAAGTAAAAATCCTCTTCTTAGTGTTAAGTTGAAACGGTTTGTAAAATGCCCTCTTACAGCTGAAGTGTATGAGCAAAAAATCTTAACTCACCTGAGAGAAAGGTAAAAATGTAGCTAAACAATATGGGTAAAAAAAGGACAGCACAGTGTAGAGAGAGCAAGCTTATTAATATATCGTTTAACGAAGATGTGTTTACCGATGCACAATGTCGTGTTGGTGGAGATATTGGAGTCCACACGCAATCTCCGCAGCAAGGAATCTGATAAACAAGAATTCAAATATTAATCAACAAAGTATTTAATATAAAATGAACTTACTTCTTAAAATGAGATCTTCCTAAATGAGCTGACCTAGGGAAAATCCACTGTAATAATATATATATATATATATCTATATATATAGATATAGATAGATATATATATATATATATATATATATATAGATGTAAAAAACAGATAAAATTCTTATCTTGTAATACCTTTTTTATTGGACTAACAGAATTTTTTAATGACAAGCTTTCGGGAGAACCTCCCTTTCTCAAGTCTGAAGCATTTCTGAGCAAAACGACACATAGAATTCAAAGTTGAGTTGTGATACAGGGGTTAAAGCGACATGAGTGTAGATAAGACAAGGGTTTGTTAGAAAATAGACACCATCTTAGAATCATACTGCACTCCTGTGGGACACCACTTTACCCAGCCTGGCCACTCACTGAAGGACCTAAAAATCAAAGTACTGAAAGGGGGTTTTAAAAATACCCAGGAAAGAAAAGCCTTTGAAGCCAGAATGATTAAATGGTTTAACAGCAAGAAGAGAGGACTAAATATTGATTTGGGATTCCTGTCCCACTACCAACACTTTACATGAACACTCTCCCAGCATTATCTTACTATTCTGTCATATGTACCAACACTTTAAAATGCATTCCTATATGTTTATTCTATCTATATACAAAGTACTATGTGTAGACCTATGCTTTCCCATACTCGTATGCATGAATGCTTATATATATTACTGTGCATTTATATTTATGTATATGAGTCCATGTGCATGTATGTATATGTGTTTATGTATATATACATGTGTTTATGCGTTCACATATACATATTTCTGTGTGTGTGCATGTATAAAGTGTATCATCCTGTGCACTGTCTGCTTATTTGTTTTTCTTTTCCCTCTCTCCCCCCTACTCTTCTCTTCAACAAGATATTTATGACCCTCTGCTAAGATGGTGTCTATTTTCTAACAAACCCTTGTCTTATCTACACTCATGTCGCTTTAACCCCTGTATCACAACTCAACTTTGAATTCTATGTGTCGTTTTGCTCAGAAATGCTTCAGACTTGAGAAAGGGAGGTTCTCCCGAAAGCTTGTCAATTAAAAATTCTGTTAGTCCAATAAAAAAGGTATTACAAGATAAGAATTTTATCTGTTTTTTACATCTACATCACTGGACTAATACGGCTACAATCTCTACTATATATATATATAATCAGAGCTCTCTCTTGCCTACATTCACTTTTCTTACTGTCACATATACTTTTTCTAGTATTACTGGTGAATACTTTTTATTTTCAAATATGTTTCTACCATCATATTTCTCTGTATAACAATTGTATATCTTGTTAGGACATCTATACCATACATAGCAGGCATCTTCTTATTCTTTTTATTGACTAGCTTCCTTTATATTTGCTGTTACTCATTGTGGCAATTTTCCATCCATTTCCATAGCTCTTACATGTTCGGTTGTGTGCAAAATGGCTTGTGCTTATCTGTTGTTCATATTGTTGCCTAGTGCTATGTGTAAAATCAGTATTATATGTTATGAATCGATTTAGCACCAGTTGCAGTAGTTTTTGTCTATTTTGAGCTCCTCGGTATATCTATATCTTTGATCTGCCTCTAATTACAGTTTTTTTTCTTCACCAGCTTGTCTTTCTCACTCTCTATTGTCTATCACTGTAGGAACTCACTGGTATTCTTGCTCTAATTTCACATGTTGATCACTGGTTGCATGCAGCACACATGGTGATTTCACTGTTTACCCTTAGACACTTCAATCACACACAGCCACAGTTCTCTATCTCCTGCATCTCCTCGTATTTGTCGATTCTCGGCTTCTACATTTGATGATTGCTTGGACTCATGTACAGATATGCTTTAGCTAAGATACTTCAGTAACATGCCTTCACTCTTTCTACCTTTTCCTCCTTTTTTACATGTCGTTGTTTTTATACACCGACACTCTTTGTTATACATTGTATGCTTGTTTCTTAGCAACACTAGGTGTATGTGCCCACACATTTCTACATCATCACACAAACATGGATTCATACTGAGTTAGCATTTTGTAGAATATTTATATTCAGTGTATATTTATTGTATGTACAGGGAGTGCAGAATTATTAGGCAAATGAGTATTTTGACCACATCATCCTCTTTATGCATGTTGTCTTACTCCAAGCTGTATAGGCTCGAAAGCCTACTACCAATTAAGCATATTAGGTGATGTGCATCTCTGTAATGAGAAGGGGTGTGGTCTAATGACATCAACACCCTATATCAGGTGTGCATAATTATTAGGCAACTTCCTTTCCTTTGGCAAAATGGGTCAAAAGAAGGATTTGACAGGCTCAGAAAAGTCAAAAATAGTGAGATATCTTGCAAAGGGATGCAGCACTCTTAAAATTGCAAAGCTTCTGAAGCGTGATCATCGAACAATCAAGCGTTTCATTCAAAATAGTCAACAGGGTCGCAAGAAGCGTGTGGAAAAACCAAGGCGCAAAATAACTGCCCATGAACTGAGAAAAGTCAAGCGTGCAGCTGCCACGATGCCACTTGCCACCAGTTTGGCCATATTTCAGAGCTGCAACATCACTGGAGTGCCCAAAGCACAAGGTGTGCAATACTCAGAGACATGGCCAAGGTAAGAAAGGCTGAAAGACGACCACCACTGAACAAGACACACAAGCTGAAACGTCAAGACTGGGCCAAGAAATATCTCAAGACTGATTTTTCTAAGGTTTTATGGACTGATGAAATGAGAGTGAGTCTTGATGGGCCAGATGGATGGGCCCGTGGCTGGATTGGTAAAGGGCAGAGAGCTCCAGTCCGACTCAGACGCCAGCAAGGTGGAGGTGGAGTACTGGTTTGGGCTGGTATCATCAAAGATGAGCTTGTGGGGCCTTTTCGGGTTGAGGATGGAGTCAAGCTCAACTCCCAGTCCTACTGCCAGTTCCTGGAAGACACCTTCTTCAAGCAGTGGTACAGGAAGAAGTCTGCATCCTTCAAGAAAAACATGATTTTCATGCAGGACAATGCTCCATCACACGCGTCCAAGTACTCCACAGCGTGGCTGGCAAGAAAGGGTATAAAAGAAGAAAATCTAATGACATGGCCTCCTTGTTCACCTGATCTGAACCCCATTGAGAACCTGTGGTCCATCATCAAATGTGAGATTTACAAGGAGGGAAAACAGTACACCTCTCTGAACAGTGTCTGGGAGGCTGTGGTTGCTGCTGCACGCAATGTTGATGGTGAACAGATCAAAACACTGACAGAATCCATGGATGGCAGGCTTTTGAGTGTCCTTGCAAAGAAAGGTGGCTATATTGGTCACTGATTTGTTTTTGTTTTGTTTTTGAATGTCAGAAATGTATATTTGTGAATGTTGAGATGTTATATTGGTTTCACTGGTAATAATAAATAATTGAAATGGGTATATATTTGTTTTTTGTTAAGTTGCCTAATAATTATGCACAGTAATAGTCACCTGCACACACAGATATCCCCCTAACATAGCTATAACTAAAAACAAACTAAAAACTACTTCCAAAAATATTCAGCTTTGATATTAATGAGTTTTTTGGGTTCATTGAGAACATGGTTGTTGTTCAATAATAAAATTAATCCTCAAAAATACAACTTGCCTAATAATTCTGCACTCCCTGTATATATGTTTCAGACTCACTGAGGTTCCTAATTTTTCTAAATTCTTTATCTATGGCATTCACCAGTGTCTACCAAACAATGCTAATAGTAGAAAACGTGGTGGTGGGCAGCTGTATATTCTCTATTAGTAACTGTCTCCTTTTACTCCCACCCAAATTAATTCCTTTCCAATCCTCCCGTCAATATATACAGTGACTCCATATTGAGAATTATACTTCTGTTCTTTTAATAGAAAAACATTATTTAACATTGTTCCATAAACTTTAATGATATTTTTAATCTGTAAATGTTTATGTTGGGTGATTTGGTCATTATTAAAACTATTAGAATTTTATTTGAAACTTTAGGGTTCCTTTACCAACCCTCTTTTCCAAAACAATTCTTTAAATGTGACTCTTTCCTCAGGCCTTGTCATACTTCTTCCTGTTAAATCTTCTCATTGCTCTGACCCATATTTCCCCTCTCCTCGTCCGGTCTCCATTTTAAGCATTGTATTTTAAGACTTACATTGCAATGCAAGGTTCCAGTCTGATGTTTCTTTTCAGGAAGCTGTCAAGATCACCACCATGCAGATACTCCAACACGTAGCATAGATGGGTCTGGTTGAAAATAAAATACAATGGGATATACTTCACAACACAAACACTTAAACAGCAAAAAGAAAACTTGTTAAAACATAATTTCCTGTACTTTGCTAAATCCTAGAGCTTTGGGGAAAAAAATGATGCTCTGTTTAAGGAACCAACTGTAACGGAGTGCCTTTGATCACTGTGCTTATGCCATTTTGAGAAAAAACTTATAATTTATAATCCTTAAAATCTATTAAGATTGGAATATATATTTTAAAAAAAAATAACAGATAATTCAGAATGCAACCCAAAACTGACATTAGATGTTTTCTAACAGTAAATTTGGAGATACCAGTGATCACTCCTGAATAGGCAAATATGCAATAATTTTTTGCTTCCCCTTAGCTTTGAATTATCGAACTGCAATTCTTCACCTAAGTTTTGAAATATCGAAACTTCAAACAAAGTGCAAGATTTCAAAATGTTGGCAAATACAAAATTATAGCGTTTAGGCATCACGTTGAGATTGGTGCATTGAAACATAAGTTTTGTTCTTGCCAGCACAAACATGATCCTCTGCATTGAAACTGACCTGAGAACCCTCTGCAACAACTCCTAGGGTTGAGTGTGCTGATTCTCTTTGTTCCTGAGAGATGGAACATTCCTTTGCCGCTTTTATTAGTGTCACTGGTGCCAGGAATCTAGCAATCCCTCTGCACTTGAGAGTTCAGCACTTTTAGTGCTTAAGGGACTGAGCATCTCTCTAGTACTTTGCTGCCATTCAAATCAAGTTAACAAAATACATAGCACAAACACAATTAATATTGCAAACTTTGAAAGAAATGTTTAAAAAATAGCCATGTGAAATATGCAAAAAGCACAAAATAAGTACAAATTTGAGCATTCCACGTGTAGCCTAAAGGATAATGCAAAAATTACTCTTTCTAATTATGAGTTGCTAATCTTTCTATATTTGGATAGCAATGAGATACTGAACGAGCTAGGTATGGGTTAGAAACTATACAAAATCAAGCCCTGTGCTTAAACGCCCACTACTCCTGGCAGCAGCAGCAATGACTATGGTACCCATCAGCCCCAATACATACAATAAAAAACAAAGCAACAAAGTTACAAAGTTACTTGCTCACTATCCCAAATCCCTGTAGACATTTAAATAACTGGAGGTTTTTTAGTATCACTCAAAAGGCTTTGGAAAAATACCCTTTTTTGTCTCATTAGAGATTTTTACCTGTTAGTTCAAGACAGGAAGGTGAATTTTTAGTGTAGGATTCACCTAAGAGGTTTGCCTTAACGTGGCAGGTGAGTTTATAATAGGGATAGTAAATTTTGTCTTTGGTATATATTGGTTAGAAAACAATTTGCCACAGAAAATTTAAAGCAAACATCTGCAGATATATTGCTGGTTGGTTTGTTAATAGAAAGTTGATTTATGACCATTAAGGAATTACCGGGATCTGAAACGCTCCATAGGCTTTGGTTAGGTAAGGACTTCCGGCTGCCATCTCCAGCACTCGTCGTTCAGCGAGTGTCCTGTCTGAGGCTTCAGTGAGAAGGTCTTTCTTCCTCACTATTTTCAAAGCCACCACCTTCTTCGTTGTTTTATCCGATGCCAGGAAGACCTGGATGACACGTAAATAAAAAGGCTTTCAGAATTTTGTGTCAATCCTTGTGTGCTAACATATCTATTAGCATGATGTATTTAAAGGAAAACTGACACAAATGTTTTAAATGTAGCAAGCTATATTTACCTAAAAGGACACTATAGGCACCCTGACCAGTTCAGCTCATTGAAGTGATTTGGGTGCATAGTTCCAGGCTCCTTGACCCTGCAAAGGTTATTATTGCAGTCTTTAAAGGACCACTCTAGGCACCCAGACCACTTCAGCTTAATGAAGTGGTTTGAGTGCCTGGTCAAGCTAGGGTTAACCCATTTTTTCTCTGAAACTGCTATGTTTAATAGGTTATTCCAGCCTCTAAAGCCTCTAGTGGCTGTCTTATTGACAGCCGCTAGAGACGCTTGCGTGTTTCAAGACGCAAGCGTCCATAGGAAAGCATTATGAATGCTTTCCTATGAGACTGGCTGAATGTGCGCGCAGCTCCTGCCGCGAATGCGCATTCAGCCGAAGAGGAGGTGGAGAGCTCCCCGCCCGGCGCTAGAGAAAGGTAAGAGTTTAACCCCTTCCTCTCCCCATAGCCCGGCGGGAGAGGGTCCCTGAGGGTGGGGGCACCCTCAGGGCACTATAGTGCCAGGAAAACGAGTATGTTTTCCTGGCACTATAGTGGTCCTTTAATAAACTACAATAATTACCTTTGAGGGTAAACTCCAGCTCTAGTAATTTTCTACCAAACAAGTCACTAGAGGGACTTCCGGGTCATTAGGTGACATTTGGTCGCCTAACTGACGCTGGACGTCCTCACGCTATGAATGAGGACATCCAGTGTCATGTTAAACCCCCTATGGTAGAAATACTAATGCAAACATGGCCATTGCCGTGCATACGCATTAGGTCTCCCCTGCCGGATGACGTCAGCAGGGGAGGAGCAGAGGCAAACCCAAACCAGCACCGACATTGTGACAGTAGGGCTTTAACTCCTTCTGCGCACGGGGGTGAGGGCTGTGAGGCAGGGGAGAGCTATGGTACCAGGAGAACAACTTTGATTTCCTGGCACTGTAGTTTCCCTTTAAGAAACCTACTGTGTGGTTATTATATCACAGACATATCTTGTAAAATACATTATTATTTTGTTTTTTAGCCTTTCTCCTTTAAACTAACTTTAATATGCCCTATGGTCTCATTACACCTAACTTGATCAAAAACACAACAGAGTAGTTGTGCACAATCGAATCCCTGTCCTGTTTATTTACTGAAGTCTGTACCAGATATGGCTGATTGATGCTTATGTATCAGATTAGCATTCTAATGGCATATCTAAACCATTGGCACCACTTATCATTTATAGCAGCGATGGCGAACCTATGGCATGCATGCCACAGATGGCACGCTGAGCCCTCTCTGTGGGCATGCTACCATAGGTCACTGGTAGGGTGCCCAGCGGTGTATTCACCGCAAGGCTAACAAGGCATTTGCCTTGGGCGGCACTGCCTTGTTAGCCTCGTGTTCTGGGGGGCCCACACGAGGCGGGCGGCAGCTTTTATTGCGGGCTTACTGCTCAGCTCCCTCGCATTGCTTAGTTATGCCGGGAACCTGAATATGATGTCAGACCACTCACAAATCCACTCACTCTTCCGTTTTACTTGCTAAGGTGCTCCTCCAGCCTTTTAACAATACATACACTCAAAGTAGTGCACTCACTGGTCTTCTTAATTTGCAAACTTTATTCACCAATGTTCAGTAACTTTACCGTATCATCAACACTTCAGTCCTAGTCCGAATGAGGACCGAAACGTTGATGATACGGTAAAGTTACTGAACATTGGTTAATAAAGTTTGCAAATTAAGAAGACCAGTGAGTGCACTACTTTGAGTGTGTATATATATATAATTTTGTTTTGTTTTTTTACATACACAGAGAATATTGCTGTACTTGAACAGAATATTTTTATTATAGTTGCGCACATCAGCTTTAGAAAATACACAGCAAAAGCACAAATAACAGCACAAGCGATAGCACAAACAAAAAGAGAATCCAGTGCATTGGTTCTTAACAGAGACCAAAATGATTTACATGATACAGTATTAACTGGGTGACCCATTGTACAATTACATAATTAACACAGTAACTTCCTGTGTATTGTAGTATGTAAGGAAGTATATTCTATAAAGCTTTATTAAATCTTCAAAATGTGAAAAGATCCTCTATCGCACTTTTATTTATACAATCCATGAAACATAAGCATTGTATATGTTTTCTTAAGTAGAAATAATTCAGTTTTCATAACAATAGACTGTGATACAGTTTCCATTGACATTTAGTAGAAATGTATCTCTCTCGCTATCCTACTATAGCTTTGAGAATGTCCATCATTCCTATCAGGTCATGTGACCAGGAACTAGCAATTGTAGTGACAGTTGGAGTGGATTAAACTGGCCATAATTACAGTGAAAAATCACAACAAACACTATCAATTCCCAGTACTACTAACTAAATGACAATTAAATATCCAACAGAGGAACATGTAAGAAATATGGAATATGGAATTTATTCACCAAAGAGTATGTTTATGTGAATTGAGAAGGCAATATTATTTGGGTTAAAATGGGTGAAGGTCTACTTTATCCTAATTTGTATAATTCATCACATTACAAACTGTTTAGTGAATTAACCCTCATCTACCAATTGTTCCTGTGTTACTGTGTAATTGTCTCATTTATTGTACATTTCCCCCCTTTTCATAATATTGTAAAGCGCTGCGGAATTAGTTGGCGCTATATAAATGCCAATAATAATAATAATAATAACATTGTTTAATTTTCAATACTGTGCACTGCCCATAGAACTAATCTTAAAATAAATTAGATACAAAATGGGAAGGTGGGACCTCCGACTTGAAAAGTGGGGGGAAGCAGATGTCCCTGAGATTACAACCAATTAAAAAATCATTCTTAAATAGAAGATATTTTAAATACAATTTTATTAGTAAAATAGTTAAAGAATTTGCACAAAGTAATAATGGATAAAAAAATGTGCTAAAAATAAAAACGTGTAACAAAAAAATAACAATAAATGAAAGAATGGGGGGCAGGTCTGGTCTTAATTATACCAGTGCTAGGCTAATTTGTAATGTTACACAGGGTTATGCCGTTATTACTCACCTAACCCTATCTAAACAACAGAATAGGTTTTATAACCATCTCTGTATCTAATTTTTCAGTAAATTTTCTCATTGATGTTAAAATAAATTGACATAAAGTTCAATGTTACAGGTGAGCAAACAGAATATATTTTCAAGTTGAAACCAGCAATAGATGAAACTAAGTGACCACAATCAGAGACAAATCACATGTTTAAACTTTCAAATATAAATCTTTAAATAATTTGACAAGGGTGTACTCTTACATCCTATAACCAATTATTGAGAATTATATTAATCAATAATGTGTTCAATAACATCACCCCAAAAACATTCTGTTTCTTTTGTAAAAATAACAAATCTGCTGTGTAAATGGATATTTCACAAATTGCGTACCTTTCCATAGCCACCCTTGCCAAGCAGTCGGTGGAATGTAAATCTCTGCAGCGAAAGAGATGAATCCAAAGATGGACCTGGATCTTCTGGATTTTCTGGAGAGTCGCTGATTTCTTCAATAATTTCCTCTTCACTTGCGCGTTGTTTTCCTTCTTCATCTTTATGTTCTTCTTTCTTCCTTTTCTTCACCTGTAGCTCTTTCCTGATGTCACTGTCCTTGTTGTCTTCTTTTTGTTGTGTTCTTCCTCTGCTCTCTACCTCTTCAATGGTCCTCTTCTTCGCCTTCTTACCATCCATGTTTGAGTTTGATGGTTTTAATCCACGAATGTCGAATAAGAAGTTTGCCAACTGTCACCAATCAAAATCGCTCTCAAAAGGTTTGAAGTGAAGTGGCAGGTGCATGAGCCAAGTTCTATGTCATGAGTTCTAAAGTGCTCTGATTGGTCAGAAACTGCATCGTGTTGTTGTTTTTGTTTATTTTTAAATCCCAATGATTATTATTTTAATATTTCATAATAAATCATTTATATTTCTTAAAACTCTTTGTAAATGTATAATTTCAAATATATTTTAGGCTTAGTGTTTAGCTTCTCATCTATGCCATTTGTGCAGAGCTGGCAGTTAAAATGGCCGCCTCAGTAGATATGTACATGTCCATTTCCTTACTTAGTGTCGGAGTGCGGCACACTAGGCCTTGTTACTGCACCAGGTTGTGTGCATGCATCCTTTTGTCATCTATTCTTAATCTGTAGAATTGCCGCTCACTTAACTAGGAAATTGTATAGAGTTTTAATACTTGCAAATGACTTTGTCACCCACACATTTTTTGAATGAAAGCTCCATTTTGAGTACTTGCTTTGTGTCCGACAGTCTCTTTGGTTATTACTGACCGATGCAGTATATCCGTTCATTCTGATTTGCTGCAGTGCATTTAGGTAACGTGTATGTATTGCCCCACACAAAGTCCTCTATGCTGTTAGCATGTAGCAAATTACCACTTATAGGTATCACATTTTTAGGGCATAAACTGCCTTTTCTTGCCCTAAATTGCCATCTCTTATTTTTTCTTGTTTTAGTTAAAGGGGCACCCTGAGCACCAATACTGTTGCAGCTTAATATAGTGGTTTTGGTGCCTTGGTGCTCTCTTTGTATGGCGACAAGTATAACCATTGCCATTTATGAGAAACAGTGGTGTTTAAGTTTGTCAATCAGTGTGCCTCTAGTGACTGTTAATCACACTGAGTTTAGAGGCATTTCCATGTAAAAACTTGTAAAGTTTTCTTTCTTTGTAATCATGATGATGTCAAACACAGTCAAGTCTCTCCATAGAGAAATACCGTAATGCATCTCTATGAAAAGAATCCTATTGCCAATTGCCATGCATGCACAGTAGGATCCTCAATGCTTTTCTATTGAGGGGTGTCCTGAATGTAAAAAACAATAGGAACATTCTAATGTTAAAAGTACTATATGTAATCATAAATGCTGCCTGAGCCACTATTTATTAGAGATTATGAATGAGGCAAAATATAGTATACAGGATCTGGATGCCTTACCTGACAGTCCAGCTTAGTGCTAGCATTGGCACATGCCCCTTATCATTATAAATACTGGCCCCACAGGCAGGGGATTTCAGTAAATGGATTGTCTTGATGGCTCTAATCCTAACTTGAACCCTAAACTTCTCAAATAGTGTTTATTATTTTTTTTTGCAAATACAACTAGGAAAAAGAGTACATAAGAAAATAACGGTAAAATAGTGAAAACAATTCATCCATCCACAACTATATATATATAGTTAATGTTAGGGCCACCCAGAACTCCTTGCGGTAGTAACATCACTGCAAATTTGTGATTTCTATGGGAAAAACAAGTCTTATGGCTTGACTGGTGTGCAGATTTTTGTTTAACACAAAAATCTGCACATCAGTCACACAGACTTCAGGTGGAAGGGATTTTCAATCACAATTTTCTCCCCACCATAACCTTTTTGGTTTTTGCAATATATATCTACACATATAAGAAAATAGGACTTTAAGCCCTTAATGACAGATAACGGACCGGGTCCGTCATGCTGGGGAAGCACTTAACGCCGGACCCAGTCCGTCATGCGGAAAATTAACCCTAGATCGCCGCAGTGCCGGCGATCGCAGGTTTAACGCTGTTGCTGGGTGCCTGTGAGTCAGGGGCCGACGGCAACAGCAAATCGCGATGTCCCAGCCCACGTTGTCACAATGCTGCTGGGATATCAGATCCGCTTCCCTCCACCTCTTGTGGGTTTTTGAAATGGAGAGAGATGGATCGTTGTTGCATTGTGTCCTTGAAGTGAATTAATATGTTTAAAGAGATTCCAAATCCCATTTACCTGTTCTTTTAAAAAAAATTAATTTTTCCCTGCTGATTGATCACTGCCAGCAGTTATCAAAATACAGATCACAGTGCTTTACTGTGATCTATTTATTTATTTTTACTCTCAGGGGTTAAATTAGATTTTTTAGTAACCCTAAGGGATTTAGTTAGTTGAGGTGGGTGGAATTTAGTGGGAATTGGGGAATTTAGTGATAAGCTGATAAAAACATGTTTTAAAAAAAATTAAAGTTTAGTTATTTAGTTAAAGTTTATTCCCTTAATCCAAAATGCTTAGGAAGTATAGTGCAGAGGAGGTTTATGCCCTGTTAGCGGTCGACTCAGAGGCGACATTGCGACATTGCCTCCGAGAGTGATGCAGGGGACAGAGACTATGTGCCAGATACTGCAGGACCATCAGGAGAAATCGCTGATTCCCCGAAAGCTGAACATGGCGCAGATGACTGGGTACCCCCTAATAATTTTTCACCAGACATCCCAGAGTTCACTGCCAATCCTGACATACAGGCTGACCTGTCTGGTTATAATATACTGGATTTCAAGATTTTTAAAAAGGCAAATGCTGAGCTGAAATGCACGTTTCTATAATTTCAGTTTCAGCTAATTTCTGGGCTGCTTGAGTGCTATAGACCATCAGTGGAGCCTAGCAGAAGAATGGAGGCAGGTCAGAAAGAAAACCCCAGAAAGAAATCCCCTCAGAAAAGGTGCCAGGTGTGTTACAAAAGGGGCGTAATAGCGGAGACCAGTTATTACTGCCCTGATTGCCACTCTCAGCTCAGCCAATGTTTTGGCCACTGTTTTAAAATTAACTACACCCAGGGTGAATAAGTAGACTGGTTTTGGGGTGTGATTTTAGTCATCTGTTCGGTTACTGAATCTTGGCTTTGTCTCCCATTTATCCTGTCTTCTCTGATCCTTGACCTCAGCTTGTCCTATCGTTGTTCAGTTTTTCTTTACTCCTTTGAATAGCCCGGCCATTCTAAGGACCGGTATTACAAGCTTCTCTCTCTGTGTTCTCTCTCTTTGTGGTCTGTCTGTGTTTTGGTTCTGGGATCCGTGACAGCGTTGCCAGGACACAGATAACTGGGTACTACCCCCTGATAGGTTTACTCCAAATATTCCCCCTTTCACAGCAAATAGTATAATTTGAATTGATGAGCTGCTTATATTTAAAAATATATACACGATAGCTAGTCACTGCTGAGCACCAACCACGTGTGATGCTGCTCCAGCCGTGGCCAGCTACCTGAAGTACCAAGACTCCAGGGATCTCAAGGGGCCTAACCCCAGGGCTTATATAGAGAATAACAAAATGTGCTTGTCACAAAGTCTAAAACATTTGTGACTCGCTGTGTTTCCTGGAAATATGAAGTAGTCTAATAAGATAAATATTAACTATATACCCATAAATTCTGAAATATCCCTATAAAGCGAGGGTTTAAACATAAAATCAATACCAAATGGCTCCAATATGTGTAGATAGTATATAACTATTATGGCAATATTGTTAGATATCTGCTTTATTGTGTCTAGCTCATTAGATATCCACAACACTAACCAAATTAATTCCAAATTTTTGATCTTTTGACCAGATACACCTGTAGATAATATAAATTAGTAGTTCTAGTTGTTTATTTTTTTTGTTTTGTAAGATATGAATTTTTTTGAGAGTTCCCTTTAAGTTGTGTTTCATACTATATATTTTATATAGATTCATACCCCCTATTTAATGTCATTATAGACAATACTTATATATAGTTCCGATTCATCCCCCCATCCTTCTTTTCCTATTCCCTATGTATCATTTGTCTAGATAGTAAAATATCATAGTTATATTCAGCGCTAAGGTAAAAGTAAATGAGGATCTGATAATCCCTCTTCCCCTACCTTTTTGCATTGTTTTTTTAAAAAAAACAACATTTTGTTCTTCTCTATATTTAAAAATAGATGTGGTCTTTGAGAGGTAATTTGCAATCATGAGCCATGTCATGATTCCCTTTTATTCCAGAAGTTTGGTCCTTAAGGGGTTAAAGCACAATATGCACCATATGAGATACCCTGGAGTGTCTACTTTTACAAATGGTAGGCCTTTGTGGGTTCTTTTTTTTTTTGAACAGTCAAACTGCTATAATACCCCAAATTAAAGCATGGGCCCATCAAATCCATCTCTCAAAATTCGACTGTAAATGCTGAAATGGACAGGTCTCCTATATTGCACTGTAGCTTCACAAAATAGTGTCAAAGATATACAATGGGGGTATTGTTGTACTCAGCAGATGTAGCTGAACACAAAACAAAGTTTTGTACAGGAATAGTACAAACCAACTTTACGAAATCCACATGCGAAGATCTTTGTTATAAGTTTGAGTGTAAAAAAACACAAGAGCAAGAGCCGCGCGCGCATTCAGCCGGTCGCATAGGAAAGCATTATCAATGCTTTCCTATGGACGCTTGCGTGCTCTCACTGTGATTTTCACAGTGAGAATCACGCAAGCGCCTCTAGCGGCTGTCAATGAGACAGCGGCTAGAGGCTTTGGGGGAAGGCTTAACCCATTAATAAACATAGCAGTTTCTCTGAAACTGCTATGTTTATAAAAAATGGGTTAACCCTAGCTGAACCTGGCACCCAGACCACTTCATTAAGCTGAAGTGGTCTGGGTGCCTAGAGTGGTCCTTTAAGGCGTTAATCACTAGTACAGAGTTTGAATTACCTTTAAGTTTTAAATAAAAAACTTTTTTTGAATGGAAACATATACATAGGAATTTTGTGGTGATCTAATGTGACTGTTTTCCTGACATTAAATACTTTAAATATGACTGATGGACACAGACAAATTGATATAGAGATACACTCCTAGAGGTACACATGGACACACACACACGGACTGACACACATGCACAGATATACTGACACACATACACTGAAGCAC